CTCCTGGGATTCTGGGAGCTGAAGTCCCTCGGCCCTTAAAGGGGAAAGGTTGCCTAACCCTGACTTAGACTGTCATACTTTGGACACATCATGAGAAGGCAGGAATCGATGGAAAAGACAATGCTAGAAAAGGTGGAAGGAAGTAGAAAGAGAGGACAGCCACTTGCTAGATGGATGGACTTTATTAAGGAGACCATGAATATGAGTTTGCAGGAGATAGGCAGAGCAGTAGAGGACAGGGGGGCCTGGCGATGTCTTATCCACAGGGTCGCCATGGGTCAAGATTGATGCGAAGGCAGTTAACAACAACAACAAACAGCTCTGTCATTTTTGTATCATCACCTCAGTTATATGCTATGTTGTAACGTTAACACAAATGCAACCTGTTTATTCGTATCTCTTTTAAATCAGAAGCATTTTAGCTAACATTCTTCCTGCTGTGACAGCCAAATAGACTATCCACACCTTGTCTGTCTCTTCCCTTTCTGGGAAAGTTTCATTTCCACACCGATAGTTCCAACCATTTCCTGTTAGCTCAAGCTTATGATTACTCTTTAACCACTATACCTTTCATCACTAGTAACCTAAACCACAGTGACATGTTTTGTATACTTGAAGTTTTAAACTTATTTTTTCCCTGTAAATTTAGGGCATTTGGGGGCAAAAATTGGAAAAATAAAGCCGGGGGGAGAAAAATGGCCCTACTTTTTTCCTCCCCGTTTTAGGCTCTTGTTTATGTTACTATAGTACCTAGCAATGTAAGTTAATTCCAGTTAAATGTTACTCATTTTATTTTAAAAATCTTCAGTTACATTTCTATCCTGCTTTTCCTATGAAAAGCACACAACTATTGGTTTGTAAGCCTCAAGCAACTAAAATACTGTATATACTACTTTGGCCTATGGGTGATTAAGTACAGCTAAATACACAATACTGTATATCCATATTAGATCAGGATTCTCACTGCTGAGACACATTTCTTATGAAAACCTCATCCTCTGCCTTCCACAAATAGTGCCCAACACAGTTAATATTACAGCAAGAAGAGGAATGAGAACTTAAAATGTTTTGTTAATTTCTTGTTTTGCTGAAATCAAGGGGGGGGGTTCACTCTCAGATCATAAGAAGTTTGCTCTAGCACTAAAGAATAAAAATATATGCCAGAAGGCATATCCTTCTGCAAGAGTCGCTTGTTCTAAGATGACTAACAACGAGAAGAAGGTAAAGGCCAAAGAAGCAATTCATATAGAGATGCAGCAAATGTCTGTGTTAGGATGCTTTGGATTCACATGAACCTAAGCTATTTCTCAGAGCCCATTAGCTACTTTCTCATAACATACTAGTGGGTCCTCACCCACTCAGTTTCAGACTTGTTGTACTACATCCTGGAAATGAACGTTGCCAGCATAGTCATATATAAAATACAAAAACATCAATTAGATCTGAAATGATAACAAAATAGTCAAGACAAAAAAACTCAAGAATCTTTCCAACAGCTGCAGCCTATCAAACACAATCCTGTCTGGGCAGATTAGCGAGACTCAAGGGGACCAAAAAAGCCTTTATCCAGAGGCGAGATAAAGCAAGTTAATTTTGGTATGGCAAGATCCTAGTACCAAAGCAAGCTGATAAAGTGTCATCAAAGTGACAGCATAAACTGTTGTCCTATTAAAAATTAAAAGGTATAACAATACAGCAAATTTACAATACAGCAGTTCTTTAAATTGTTTTAACAGTAATCAGTATATCTAGACTGTAAGTATGTCACTACATCACCTTTTATTTTAGCTTTGAAAGTTCAGTTATGTACCAAAATTAAATGCAATTAACTGGCAAACAAACAGAACTAAGCAGATGCACACTTCAAACACTTTTCTTCATTTTTCATGCAACACTATAAATTATAAGTGCATTATTAAATGTCAGTGCGGTTTACTTTATGGATAAGGAGGCAGCAAATACCAACTGATGTTTACTCCCATGAATGAGCTGCAGACTTATCATCTCAGTTACTGTATTCTTAATTACACCACTGATGGTGGTGTATGATCCTTTAGAAAAAAAACCCTTGATCAAGTTGTTACTTTCTGTCTAAAAAGCAGGAAGGATGTGGTTGGTTCATTTTGAATTACATTTGCTACGTATTATGCTGCAACCGGTTTCAAGAGTATTGATGTTGAAAATGAGGTGGGTGGCTAGAACAAGGTAGAAAAAGCATATTTTATCTTTGTAGAAGGAAGTAGGAAACCATAAAAATTATCCTTCCAAAGACAAAACAAGCTGTAAGCTAACTGACAAGCTCAGTTTTCTTCTAAAACTGGATTCAAAATATGCTGTTTCACAAGATGCAAACATGGAAAGCTCCATTCAGAACTTGGAAGTAGAACAGCACTGGTTTCGATAACATACAAGTTGCCATGTCAGATCTTGTTTATTTTTGCCTGTGAAATCTTGGTTAAAAAGTCATAAATTGCTTTCAATGGCAAGGAGGTATCAGTCTAAGAACTTGCAAAGCCAGTTCCAAGCTCTGCTGAAAAAGCAAGAAAGATGTGTTGACGCTTTTCCTTTCTAATACAGATTTGTAATTCAATGGTGTTTCTCCTAACCGCCTTCAGGTCCAAAGCCTCTACTTGCAACTTCCTTCTCAGCTCAGAGAGCCAGCTGCTCCCAACCTTTCCTGTAAAAGATTAGAACTCCTTATCTTGCTCACCTGCTATATTGAAACTGACTCACCAAAACACTTAGATATGAAGACTGAGAAGGATTGCAGGGAGGAGACAGCAAACAAAGGTGAAAATAAACAGGAACAAGACAAGAAGTGTCATGAAATAGATGGGGGGGGGGGGGGGAAGAGGGGAAGAATCACAAAAATACCAGCTAAGAGTAGTATGGAATGAAGGGGGGGGGGAATTCCAGATGGGAAAAATTGATATAATAGCATTTGGTATGTTGGGACACATGAGTCTGAATTAGATGTGGTTTCAGTAGTTACTATAATGGGCCCTTAGTATCCACTGGGGTTTGGTTCCAGGACCCCTGTGGACATCAACATCTGTGGCTGCTCAAGTCCCACTATATACAGTGGATTAGTGAAATGACCGACTCTCCCATTAAGCCACACTGACTCCTTACTGGATTCTTATCCTTACATTATTATTTAGTTAGGTATGGGTTGTTGGGTTTGTTTGTTTTGGCAAGTCACACACTCTCAGCCTCAGAGGATGGTCATGGTGGAGTCACTAAAAATGTCTGGTCCGACATCCTTCCAAGCCCACACAAAAAGAAATGCAACCTAAACCAGTGAGTGGTTCTCAAATGGCGGGGCAGGGCGGGGGAGTGAGAACTGCTTTTTGGGGAGGGAGTTGCTCAAGTGGGGCCCTGATACCTTTGCCATGGAGGCCCGAATACCCCCTTCCAGGAATTCTCTCACAACTCAGTAATGCTTTTCTGACTCTCCCTCCCTCAAGATATGTTCACTGACAGAGTCTTACCCCTAAATTCCGTCTTTCTCACACACACACACACACACACGCATACAGTCACACTCTTCATCTTTTTTACATACTCGCATATGTACTTGAGTATAGTTGCACAGACACAAGAGAATGTTTCTGTGTGACTGTGTGTGAGAGAATTAGCATGTGTGAGTGAAAGAGAAAATGAAAGCATGACTTAGTGTGTACACATCTGTGAACAATAGTGTATGCTAGTGCAGCTGTGTATGGGACCATATGTGTAGAATTTGCATGTGTGTTTAAGTACTGAATTCATTTAAATGAAACTGTTCTAATTTGAACAATGTCATTTCCTTATAAAATGTTAAAATATGAACAGGCATGAAAGTGTGAATGAAAACATGCACGCAAAACAAAATATTTTTAATCATATACTACACTGAAGAAGGTGCGCAATGTCCACATGTATATGTAAAGGGCTTTGTGTTTGTCGCTGTGTTGTGTGCCTTCAAGTTGTCTCAATCCTAAGGTGAACCTATCATTTGGTTTTCTTGGCAAGATTTGTTCAGAGGGGGTTTGCCCTTGCCTTCTGCTGAGGCTGAGAGCATGTGCCTTGCCCAAGGTCACTAAGTGGGTTTCATGGCTGAGCAGGAATCGAACCCTGGTCTCCAGAGTTATAGTTCAACGCTCAAACGATTGTGCCATGCTGGCTCTCTGTGAAGAGGGTTAGAAGGGTAAAAAGTTTGAGAACCACTGACCTAAACCATTAGGTAAGGCAAACCTAGATTCGGCAATACACAACACGAACAGGGAAGCTACAGTCAGTGTTGGGAAGCATTCCTGTGTTTGTGTATACAGCTCTGTCCCATTTACAGTTTCTATTTTCAGAGTCACACTTTCAAAAAGCTCTTTCACTGATACACCTAAAATGTTAAAAGTACAAGGGCCCTTTAAGAAGAAAAGGCATCCCTAAAATTTGAACAAGAGTATTAAAAACTAAGAAGATAACTACGGTAGTCTGATCGATAGAAGTTGAGAGTGAAGAAGAATTATTTGGGGTGGATCCCAAAGAGCTTTAGAAGTAGAGATGAGGGAGAGCCAGGTTAGCAGCAACTATATTGAAGATGAGGAAACCAATGAGGAGGAAATTTATGAAGGCGCACAACGTTTCATAAATTTCATGTTTACAAAAGTGGTTAAATTAACTAGTAGTGGTGTGGTCTATTGGTTTGAACACTGGACTATGACTCTATGGAGACTGGGATTCAAATCCCAGCTTGTTCATGAAAACCTATTGGGTGACACTGGGCAAGTCACACAGTCTCAGCCTCAGAGGATGGGAATGACAAACCCTCTGAGGAAACCTGTCAAGAAAACCCCATGATAGGTTTGCTTTAGGGTCGCCATAAGTTGGAAAGGCACACACCACCACTACCACCACATATTCCATTTTATTTTTAAATCATTATGACCTACCTGGAATCCCATTGTGGGAGAAAGATGGGACATAAATCCTTGAAATAAATAAAGTAAAATAAAATAAAAGCCAGTGTGGTACAGTATAGTGGTTTGAGCACCGGACTATGACTCTGGAGACCAGGGTTCGAATCCTAGCTCGGCCCTGGGCAAATCACACTCTCTCAGTCTCAAAAGATGGCAATGGGAAAACCCCTCTGAGGAAACTTGACCAAGAAAACCCCATGATAGATTAACTTTAGGGTCTCCATAAGGAATATGGAGGCAATAGTTCAAATCCTTGTTCGGCCATGGAAATCCACTGGGCGACCTGGGGCAAGTCACACTCTTTCAGCCTCAGAGGGTGGCAATGGGAAACTCTCTTCTGAGGAAACTTGGGCAAGAAAACCCCATGATAGGTTGACCTTAGGGTCTCCATAAGGAGTATGGAGGCAAGGGTTCAAATCTTTGCTCGGCCATGGAAACCCACTGGGTGACCTGGGGCAAGTCACACTCTCTCAGCCTCAGAGGGTGGCCATGGCAAACTCTCTTCTGAGGAAACTTGGGCAAGAAAACCCCATGATGATAGTAGATAGGTTCGCCATTAAGTCGGAAAGGACTTGGAAGGCGCACAAATCATCCTCATCATCAACTCCATTAAAAACATTTTGACTGGAAGGCACACAACAGTCACAACCAACAAGGAGTGACACTCCCCTGAAGGGGAAGGAGGGAGTTTGGCAGGAGGGAAGTGGAAGAAAAGTGGAAGATATCATCTATTATTGTTATTATTATTATTATTATTGGATCTCAGTCCCTTCCCCGTTTGCCACAAATAGTGACACAAACAAACACACACAACTTACCAGCTGCTGTCGTATCCACCGCCACATCCCCTCGTCCGTCCGGCCGGCCTGACGGTGCCCCAGAGGTCCCCCTTTCCCCCTCAGTCCTTGGAAACAAACATAGATAGATATATAAAAGTGTAAAAAAAGAAGACAAGTTTGGCCGCCGTTGAGTCACTGACGACGCCTCGCTCTTCTCCGGCTCCCCATCAGCGCCTCAGGGCCCTTCAGCTGCGACGCGGAAGCCCTGCCGCCGCCGCCGCCGTCCGCCCGCGGCCTGGGAGATGGAGGGGCTCCGGCTGTGGCTCCTGCTTCTGCTCCGGCCGCCCCTCAGACGCTGCCGCCATCATGGGAGAGCCGCGGACGTCGCTCCTCGCCCCGTCGCCAGGGGTCCCCCCCTCGGTCCGAGCCGCCTCCAGGAAGTGACGACCAAAAAGGGGCGGGGATTAGCCCACTTTGGGCGAGGGGAGGGGAGATTGCGCACGCGCGCCCCCG